GTCTATCTATTACAGCTGAAAATGATGATGACACATCCATGAAGTCAAGGAACGCCAAGGTTGTTCCTATACATGACGTTGAGATGACGTGGTCGATGCAGTCTCTACCCGGTCGGAATCACGCCTCAACAGCAGACGGGATTCGAGCTGAAATCTGCGGTCATTACATTTATTGCTAGTGCCCTTTTGAAGATGTGCATTATTGACTCATTCCAGTTGTCTGGAACGGCTTCGTTCACCCTAGATAGACGTATGTAGACTAGACAGGCTCTGGCTGAGAAATTTGGCGCCATACTTGAGCGGAGGTCGTGAGGACAGAAAGATATTGGAAGCTGCGGATTTTCCAGCAATTTCCATTTGTTTGACCTCTTGGATCTACCTAGCTTAAGGTGTGAAGTTCGGACAGTCTCTCATACCAGGTTTGTCAATGGTTAGAAGTCGGAGGGGCAGTCTCCTGGTCCTCCAGGTTGGGGCTTAGAATGTGTGGCGACGTGTTCCGTAAAAATGGTGATGTAGTTGCATTCCCCGCCAAACACCGCTGCCTTGCGGTCAGGTTTTTGAGGCTGAGGATTCTAATCGTCCTCCAGTCCACGTACAGGCGCCCTGGCAGTATCCCAGCCCATGTACAACCACGAACTGCACTTATACAAATAAACACATTCCACATCGACCATCGCGTGGTGCCATCAGCCGGGTCATCTTACTCGCCTCATACAGCAGGGCGGGTAAGCGAAAACAGGATACTACTGACGCCTCTCTTCTTTATCTTCCACATACTTTTTCTTCCACGTCTCCCCACACCATTAATAGCTCTCTCCTAAGCCCGGCACCTAAGACCGATGATTCCGTTTGTCATGCAACGGTTTTGCAAGCAACCAATACGCGTTATCCGGCACCGACATACTCAGGCATCTCGAAATCAATCTTCAAGCCTCGATGCTTAGTCTTCAATACCCGCAACCTGAAGCAAACAGATCAACAAACTGCTCTTGCTCACACTGGACTCGCTTGGAATTGATGTGTACTGCCTCAGAAACAAGAATTTAACATGCAAACATAGCGGTCGAGTTAACCACCCCATCACTCTCTACTGATTTTCGGCTGCGCACCTCTGGTGGCCCTGAGGCTGCTGGGGCAAAATGTGCAAGGGTTAGTATCGTTTTGTTACTGGGCGGAAGAATCCTTACTTGACTGGATTCCCGTTTATAGATGCCCCTGCGCGGGTTCTCTGGCAACGTCTGTGGAGCCTCACAAGCGGGAAGTTGATCGATGTAACCATCTGACACCATCAAAGGCGGGTTTTATGGAGCCCAGAATGCACTGTTGCAGTGAGTCGAAACTTCATGTATCGTTGTGGTTGCCAGATATCTGACTGCACAAATGAACAGGCTCAACTAGATAGTCAATATGAACTGGACTCAGTACGTACGGATGATAGATTATCATCATCATCAAAGACAGCGACACCAATGTTGATACTGATGCTTCACTGCCGTAGAGCATGCAGCGGTAGTCGTTCAACTCATTTACGGATGAACGATTACTTCTGCTACGTGCTGATCGCAGGCAGTTTTCACGCAGTACAAGTTTCCGAAATAGCCGTAATCATTTGACCACATGGTGTCCTCCAACGGCGAACTCAGATCGACCACATCGTCATCAATTACAGGTGGCGCGGATCAATAACTGATTGCCGCTCTTTTTGAAACATATCTATGGATTATGACTACGCACTCGTCCGGATTCGCTTCTCCCATCGTTTCCCACGGTCGCGTAAGGTGCGGAAAAATCGCCTGGCAACTGAGAGACTGGCAGATCCGGATGTAAGACGAAGTTACCAGAATCGTCTTCCAGTATCTTTCAAATGATCTACCATTGGAGGCGAATTCATACTGCGCCAATTCACTGACCGGAAGGTTCGTGGGTCGAACCCGAATTCCGCCAGTCGACCTCACCCGTCTAGGCTTGGGCAAACTGGCAGTACCCCAGCCTTCGTACTTCCTTCTGGTGGCATGGTAGCTAGACACCGAAAGGTCCGGCTCACTCAAGCACCGGATATTAGACCGAACCGTAGCACTGTTTAAATCTAGGGGAAATATCCCAGCTAGTCCAGAACATAACTTGACGCGATGAATTGTCAGACGCCACTTGAAAGTGAATGTGCAAACAGATCGTGAAATCTCGTGGACACAGGAAGCCAAGAGGACAAGCCGGCAAGGCAATGCCCGAAGATTGTTTCAGCTGATCCGCGCGACCGGTACCCGGAAACCTGTGAGCAACTACCAAGGATCAGAAGGGAGTGAACACCTTGAGCAAAAAACGTCTCAACAGTTGGGCCGAATACTTGGCACAATTGTCGTGGCCATCGGCTGCTATCCATCTACAGCCCACAGGTGACGCAGAACCCAGGAAGGTGAACCTGGAACCACCTACGCACCACCGAGCTTCTGATCCGGATGACCTCCCACCTGTATTGTTCAAAGATGGGGGTGAGATCCTTAGAAAGCGCTGGTCTCATCTGCTTACCTGCATTTGAGAAAAGGATTGTCCCAAAAATGACGAAGGGGAGAGTCGTGGTAGTGTCGTTTCGAAGAGGCTCGTACTGAGTGGTCATGATACTGCTAGCGTCAACGGTGCGTCGTTGCAGTATGGTTCTTCGTGGAACACCGACTGGAGAGCAGCAAGCACGGTTCCAACCTGTTATGGATTGCGTTGGCCAAATCTTCAATACGTAGCTACTAGAACAACGAGTGACATGATAGCAGCATGATCAGCTGTCAGCCGTCAGCGCACTTGCCCTACAGTGTATCCAACTGCCACATTTTCGTTAGCCAACGATTGGGTAACGTAGGTAGCTTCGGATTGGAGGCTGTAGTTGATACAGTTGAACTGTAAGTAGAGGGTTGTTGGTGGGCTAATAATTGAGGAGTTTGGAGTTAAATTGTTTTCATGGTTTACTGCCAAGTCAGTGTTTGACCTCTGCTGACTCTCTACCATTCAATTTGTTGTGCAAAAAGGCGACCGACTGAAATACGGAGCAGGTGATCAAGCCGGCGCAAACTATGGAGCGTGATCAGCTCATCTACCATGGGCGTTATTTCTTGCGAGAACCATTTCACGCATATCAGCGCTAGTGATCCTGTGTTCCCACCAGACTCGAGCAACACTCTGAAGACATTGGTCAAACACTGAAAGTCCTTCATCGTCCTAAGTGCGCAGCGGCCAGATTTCTCAACCGTATAGCAACATGAAATCGACCCCTGACGGATAAGCTGATGTCAAGTCTACGGCTCAGGTGATGCGGGTTCACGAATGTTGCTCAGGCTCTCCCAATCCGGATAGAGTATAATCTTTCGCGATACCACCTGGATTGACACAGCTGCCCTGGGAGACGAATTTGTCTACTACCATCCACTAACTTCGGTCAGGGTACAAGGCCAACTCATTCCGTAGCAGGACTTTACACTTCGCGGGAGTGAAGGACATGCCAAACGGAGTGCGGCTAGCCCTAGTCAAAGGTGTTACATCCGAACAAATGTTAATTACAACCATTCCTACCTAGTTTGCTATGGCCTCCGCGAATGTCCTCGCACCTTCCATGCGAGCCATGTTTGCTATTTGAAAGTGCCCCTTGGATGCTTCATCAAGGCCCTATAAACTATTTTCTTATAGAGAACTCAAGACACTTGCGACATCCTAACATCCAACGACTTCACACTTCCGAAAAAAATCTGGCATGACTCGTGAGAAGGGATAAGAGCGATGAATAGAAAGACGACTGGTGACATCCTCCGTAAATTTGAGTCGACAACTCAGAGCAAGATAAATCACTCAGCATGTAGAAATATGCGCTTCACTTTAGGCTGAAAAAACAGCCCCTGCGTCTAACCTGATGCTCCCAGTTTCAATTCATTACACCTTGGGAACTCCCACTGAAATGAGTAATGACTTTTGAGGGTTCCTAAACACTACCGCCACATCCCACTTACCGTCAAAGCGCTAGGAATAACCTAGTGCGCAAATTATTGAGCGAGGGATATGCACATCAATTGGGCCAAATGACGATGTCGCTCCAATAAAGCGGTCTAATTTATACCGGGNCGCTAGGAATAACCTAGTGCGCAAATTATTCAGCGAGGGATACGCACATCAATTGGGCCAAATGACGATGTTGTTCCAACAAAGCGGTCTAATTTACACCGGAGCACTCGCGTTAATACACATGACCGGAAGGAACATATTCCCTCGAACTCACTCTTCACTCAGCAAACAAGCCACCAGTTTTGGTAACATTCCAGCTTTTATCAGTTCGTCAATCGGTGGATTGCGGTCACTGGATAGCAACTTGCGAGCTGATTGTACAACGAGGAGTCGCACGGCAGGATCCTCATTTGCAGCATTTGCAACAATCGCATCGAGATTCAGCAACATTGGTTTCTCTCCACCGTCAATGTCGGAGTCAACCGGGTCACCCGAGGCACCCGTTACTTCTCCCAAGCCTGGGATGTTCCGTTTCTTCTGAAGTGTCTCTTCCCGTTTGTTTTTGCGAAGTTCGACCTGCCCTTCCTGACGCCGTCTTCGCATCTCCTGCCCCAGAGTTGAGAATAACGAAAAGAAAACTTACATCTGCACTCTTTCCGGCAT